ACAGATCTTTCAAATACTTGTTTTATTATAGCGATACTTATATGCAGTTTTAGTATTTATTATAAAAATAATTTACCGATTTACCATTTCTTTGAAAATCTTCATATTAAAAATATAAATTATTTTTAAAAAATTGCAAGTAATACTTTAAGTATTGAGTTACTCACTTGGTAGTAAATCCCCACCATACTTTCTGGTTAATATTTTTGACCCCAAAATACCAAAACGTAAGTTTCGTTGCCTTAAATGATTTTTTTGGGTTAATCGTTAATAACAAAACATTTTGTGACTAGAATTTTTTCATAAAAATATAATGGCCACTGAATGGTCTATAGAAAATAGTCATACAACAATATAGTCGTAAATAGCGAATTGTTAGATGTAATTATACCAGTCACAGCTTTTTCCAGAATGTTGATATATGGTAGCCTTGTCATGTTCTTTTTAAATATGTAAATTTCTCCATTGTCAATAAAATGTAAATCAGACCAAACTTATATATTTTAAAACACACAATTAACATTTACATTTATAACCTTAAAGGCGTCATCAATATGTACAATATCTATTGTTGCTTCAAATTTGAGGAGTCAAAAGTATTTTAGACAGCAAGAGATGAATTTTTTATGAATACTGAGATTTTTTTTGAAAGAAAGAAAGAAATGAAAGAAGTATTTTATCCAGAACTGTTGTATAAAAAAAATTAACGTTAATTTTGTAGAAATGCTAGGAACAAAAACAGCCTAATCAAAATAGAAAAAGACATTTCAAGGCTACCTTTTCTTAAATTATCTAACTATATTTTAAAACAAGGATAAACTATTAAATATAAAATAATATTTTTGTGAATCTATTCTGAAGATTTATTGAAAAAGATCCGCCTCAATATAATTAACCTCTCTATGGTAACAGTAAATCTCCACAAGTCAGTAATGAATGCTTATGAATTGACTTTCATATCCATAAAACCCATTGACTCTAGTTGCTCTAATTTAGTCTCTTGACACCCAAGGAAACAATGACTTCAAAAAACGCAAAAAATGGATAGACTATTTAAAATTAAGATACGAATTATAAAAGAAGCTTACATTAATTATTGGGCCTATATAATATGTAAGATTAACTTTATCTTGAAAGCTGAAAATCGTCGAAAGCCAGTAGTACTGTAGCCGATGGAATAGCGAGTTTAGTTGAACTATGATTGTGATAGTCGAAGTAGTGTTTTAACAGTGTTGGTAGTATTGTAGCGTTTTATATTTTAGATTTCTGTAATACACCCCTGGTTGTTTTTACCAAGAAAACAATCGTTAATATAGGAAGTCTTTTTAAAAATATTTCGACGAAGTTAAGACCGCTTTACAGCTTGCAAGAAAACTTGCTGCAACTTCTTGCATGACTAACTTTCATGCAATTTATTGCAGGGTCTTTATGTGTGACTTTACAGCTTGCAATTAATGTTGAAATTTTTACTCTTAACCTAACTTATTTCTGATTATTTTTTAATTACTTGTTTATTTCAAACACTTTAGTCGATTTAGTTTGATAGATAGATTGAATTAATTTCGATAGATATATTTAGAATTAATTTCGATAGATTTAGATTAGAATTTAGAACGATATATTTAGAATTAATTTCAATAGATAGATTGATTTAGATAGATAGATAGTAAATTTCGTAATGCCAAGACTATGCAAGACATTGTTGGTACTTCGGGCAGAAGATAGTTCAATTTTTGATGATATTCTAATGTATTAATTAAAAATATTAAAATTAGAAAAAGCCGATAATCTACAAATCAAGCCAAGCTAAATACAAATGTGTGGGAAAGGAAAAAATAAACAAAACAGGAAACAGCTGATCGGCATGTCTCCGTGTCAATCAGTGATTATGACGTTTGACATTGTGAAAAAATCAAACTTCCTACAAATTCCCCTAGACTTGCATGAAAACTTGCACAGAAAATGGCACCAAACCGATTATCGCGCAACTGCAATAAGTTGCAGGCAATAATCAGCTGACGACATACTTCGCATGCCTTTGGGCAACTTTCTTGCGTCTTGCAGGTAAAATTGCAAGCTGTAAAACGGACTTTAAATGTATGTTGTAAATATTTCAAGTTTTTTTTCGACGAGAAAAGGCTACAATATATATGTTTTTATCTCTGTGTTACAAAGTCAGGTAAAGACACCGGTTTTTGGGGTCGTCAATAAACTACATGCTATTTTTAATTTGTATTATGTTATAACTATTTCAACAAGTTTTTTGTCGCCTAGAGGATTATATTTCATGATGCCCCTTAATATAAAAAAGAGGTTGTATTTGTCTTTCATCGTTAGGAACGAATAAAAAGGGGATATTTGTTTGTTTAGGCTTTGTAGACGCAAAAAGGGAAATTTTATTTGCGTCGATTTTGTAAAATTTAACGCAGATGGCAAGTGGACGAATAGATTTCAGACAGGGCAGACGTGGTACAATGTACGTGGAAGAACAGATTTGAAACGGTGGTAGACGCTTTTGCGGATATATAATGCTGGGGCAATTGTGAATCGAAGATTCGATTCAATTTTTTAGTAATGTCTTAAGACCAGTTAAAGTGATAATACTCTTTGCTTTGCATAAGCAGCTTGTCAGAGTGGTCATTGGATTTGAATGGAAACTGGCAATTTTTGAGAAGTATGGTATAGAATGTCCCCGTCGTTAGAGTGATTCCTCCACCAAGTTCCTGCTTAAATCGTTCCTGTTTAAATCGTTCCTGCCTGAGTACGGAAATGATTTCCTGTTTTCCATTTTGAAAATCTGTCCAAGTAGCTTCCCAGAGATGTAGCAAGTTTTTCCTTTTCAAAGTTAAGTGGAACATGTGAGAAATGAGGTAACTTTTAATATATTAATTTTTTCCAAGTTATAAAGACATTTTTAATAATTGCTTTCTTTCATTAAAATAAAAGAATTTGTAATAAATAAAGTTTTATATTATTTTTGTCGTAGAGGTTAAATTCAATATTTTCATAAAAAGGATATCCGTAAAATTTTGATAATCTAAATTGGCCATATATAACCTAGGAACCATTTCAAAATTTTTGTAGCAATCTTTTATGTAAACAAAGAACATGTAAGTTTTTATTAATTTGGATTATGTTGTATAATATGTTCTTGTAAAATCTGTATTTTTGATAACTGTTTGTTTGAGACAAAAATAAACGTTTAATTTGTTTCTCTGATTTATTTTGAGTTTTATTTGAAAAAGATATATTTTTGTTGTTTTATAATTATTTCCCTAGTTACAACTAATGGTTATAATAGGTTTAATTAGGCACCCAAGTGGCGCCCTATATTAAATTCCTTGATGTGTTTCGGTTTATTTTCATTTTGTTTGCCCCAATAGATTTGTATAAGTACCCCTTTATTTTTTTTTTTTTTGTAGTTGCCCCAATCTAACCCCCATATCTTCAACTTATCCACGACCCCGCTCTCCAACAACCCTCTGAGAGTGTCGTACGCACTAGTTACGATTATTTTGTTTGCCCAATCTTGTCCCCCATATTCTTACCCTGTGCTATGCAAAATAGTCGTTACACTATTGAGGCTGCTATTAGTGGAGCTGATAGCCCTAAAATTGCAGAAATATTTAATTCATTCATAAGTAACTAAGTACTTCATTCAATTTTTGCAGCAGAGCATTGAAATCAAAATTTTGCAATAACCTCTTAAGCTCAGAAGGAATAGTCAATTTTATACAGCCAAAAATCACCTAAAAATTAAGGAGGATCTTTTTTTTAATTTGAGTTGAAAACGTTTATGTATTTTATATTTAGTCAATCTAGGATACATTTTGATCAATTATAGAGTCATCATCTAAGATATCTTACGTAACACATTTAAAAGAAATATATCGCTGGTAATTAGATCATTCACCACTAGACAAATTGTAAAATATGCTATTAATAACTAAAATGTTAAAAAAAGTAAAATAAATAAATAATGTTAAAATTTAAAGCTATAGTACCACATTACACTTACTATTCATGTTATCAAATCCTAATAATTCTCGAAGGCCGAAACTCCACGTCAAGTAATGTCGTTCTTTATCCAAAATACATTAAATTATTCTTATTTATCATATCAATTGCACCGAAACAACTTATCTACTTAGATTCAAGCATATCCAATACAAATCACATAAGGGCAATGCAATGGAATACATAATTTGAGAATATTTTTGGTAATTTTATATATTCCTAATGTGATATCTTAGAACAGACCACACTGTGTATGTGCTTTTTGAAATCGTTAAAGTGATCAAATGTATTTTTTGAAAGTCTCTATGTAAACTTCTAAGTTGTAACTATTAACATAAAACCATCAACACTCTTGAAAAACCTGCATTTTTAAGAAAAAATATAAGTATGAAAAACTATAATGTTTTACACAATCAATTTTAGATGCCATCCAAACCGATTGCATTTAAACATTTTCCTAAACTCTACTCTTAATGGCCCGTTAACTTAAACGATTTAACAAAAAACTATTGTTATGTATTTTGGGAACACCTGTCGATTTGAAAACTGAAATTATGATAGTTGTGAGATGTCACAAACTGTTTACATATATATTAGTTAAATAATCACTGATTTTTCTTCAGTCAGAGCTTTTCTAGAATGTTGATTATGATAGCCTTGATATGTCCCTTTTAAATACCTAGTTAATTTTAAATAAAAAGTCATTTTTATAATAGCAATAACCTTGTAGAGGTCAACAATGTTATATATACACACCTATTTTAAATTTTCTCATTCTTTAGAGTATTTTAAAGAGCACAAAGACATGACTTTGTTAAATCTCAGAATATATTTACGCTATTCTTCTTATATATTAAGCAGTTTATCCAATTGTATAAAAAGTGAACCCTATTGTGTTTAAATAATAAAAAATACAAAGCCCTCTAACCAATAGCAGCCCAACTAATAGGGAATATAAAACAAGGCATCTCAAGGCTACTTTTCATTAAACCATCTAATTATATTTTAAAACAAGGATAAACTATTAAATAAAACATAGAGGGAACATATTTTTGGGAATCTATTCTTTACAAGGTTAACTCATAGAGAGCTGCCCCAGTGCAAGTAATCGCTCTACAGCAGCATTTACATCTCCAAATGTAGCAATTAATGCCTGCAAATTTGCTTCTCTATTCATAAAACCCATTGCCCTGAGTTGTTCTAATTGAGCCTGGTATCTCTCTTCTGGAGGCGCTTGGTTCATGCCTTGCATCATACGAGCAAATAGCTGCAAAATAGTTATGATAAAAAGATTATACTTCAGTTTTAATTTTTTTTTTAATAAGACATGACTTTAAAATAAACAAAAAGGGAAATGAAAGGATTAAAAAATAGAAAACTTTCACAAACAGTTTACCAAGAGAAATTACCTGAAATACTCTAAAACAAGTACCCCAGTGAATCTGTGAAAAATAATTGATTACATGTAAAAATCTTATTACAGATTGTTGAAGGTTCTTGAAGGTATATGAGAGATAGCTGACAGAAAAATTAAAGCCGATTTTGCTTTGTTTTTTAGCTGTAACAGCTGTAGTGATAAGATATAATACATTTTGTGGAAGTTTAGAAAACATATATAAAATGAATTTCCATCAAGTAACGGTCGAATTAATGACTTCTATTCTAAGAATTCTGAATTCTTGAAAATCAGCATCTTTTGCACAGTATTAGCAATATTACACAGAGAAAATATCTTTTCTCTGTGTAATATTGAATGAACTTATTTAAGAAGGTTGTTCATGACTGGAATCTGTTTTGTATAATGTTACTGATCAGATGTCCACATTGAACATTTGTTGCCATATGCTGACATGGTACTAGTAGCGAGATCGAAGACAATATTGAAAGGCATAATTAGGAGCCCAAAAATGTTTTGAAAGAGAAAGGAAGATATCACATAAAATTGTATCTACTACGAAATAAGAATGGAATAGACAAAAGTGGGAAATTATAAAAATAGACTTTCTTACCTCTACATTAAATGGTTGAGAACCAGTAGTATTTGTAGCTGGTAAATTAGTGCGTCCACTAGAAGAAGTTGTAGTTGTGGTAGTTCCAGTAGTAGTGCTATTAACAGTGCTGGTTGTATTGGTAGTACTGTTGTCGCTGTTAGTGGTTGTTGCTGGTGGTCTAAATCCTGCTGGAATATTAAGTGCATTCAAAAAATTTGGTGCTGTTTGACGAAGTAGTTCCATGCCCTCTCGAATCTGATTAAATGCATTTACAGCTTCAGGATTTGACGGTAAATTAACCAAATCCGGATTTTGCAATAAGTTCCCCAAGTCTGATGGGGTATTTCCGGAAGGATTGTACGGATTTCTAGGCAGCACAGAGTCTAAAAACTCAGGATCTTCTACAAACATATTAAGAAAAGATTGCATTTCAGGATCATCTAGATTACCGCCTTCCATGACAGTTGCAAGGTTATGAAAAAAACTTGCCATTGATGGTACTCCCAACGGATTTGTATCATTATTAGCGGGTGTTGTTCTGTTTCCAGATGCCGGTTGAGATGGTGACCATGGATTGGGTAATGGCTCTGTGTTTTCACGACCTTGTTGAGGATTACTTGTTGATGTATTATCTACTAATCCAGTAAATGGGTTTCTAATAAATTGTTCTGTAGTAGCTGATAGCATTGGCTCTTGAATATCACGATACATTCTTTGTAGAGCATTATAACCTCCAGGAATACTTTCTAAATTACTAATAGCTCTATCATGAGTTCTCATCAATTCCTGCAACATAGATGGATTCCTAGCCAATTCCATTGTTTGTCTTAACAGGTCAGGATTATTTAGCATATGGCTAATTTCGGGATTTCTTTCCATTAGTTCTTGCATCTGAGGACTTCTAGTCATCAAATTTCTCATGTGTTCTGGATCATTAAGAAATCCTTGTACAACAGGATTATCTAGAATATTTCTCAATGTTTCCGGATTTTGAAGAATTTCATTCTGTATGCTTGCCATACTTGGAAGTCTGTTCATACGACTAAAGTCTGCTAGGCCGTCTGTACCTCCAAAACTTCCAAGGCCTCCGAGGTTTCCAAGACTTCCAAGGTTTCCAAGACTTCCAAGGTTTCCAAGGTTTCCAAGGCTTCCAAGGTTTGGCATATTGAATCTGGAAAAAGTTCCATATGGATCTGTAATACAAATGTATTATTGAGTATTGCCTTTAAACCAGTAACCTCATTACTTTGAAAGTGAAGTTTTTAAAAGAATAAAAACATCGTAAAAGTATGTGAGGATAGAGCCGAAATCAAGCAATGAATATGTGATCAAAAAACATGGTTTTAACCAATTCTGGGAATATTTTGTATTCTCAGTCAAATTGGTTCTAAATAATAACTTGGTAATCAGTATTTTAACTGTTTTCAGTTAATCAATAAACAGATTGCTTTCAAATATTTATTTAAAACATTGTTAACAAGTTTATGCACATGTCAGTAGAGGTAAGTAGCTAAAATTCCAACCTGTGTTATTTTTATGGAACAGAAATATTGTACGTAAATTTTTGTAAATTTTATTGTGAAAAATACTAAGCCACTGTATTTCCAAGAATAATACATTAAACGGAAGGTTGTTGGCATTCTTAATATCAAAGTATGAATACTCTACAAAATCTTTTGGAATGCTAACACCTATATCTAAACATGAGGGATATGGCAAATAATTTCAGGTGACTCAACATAGAAGGTTTCTCATTGTCAAAAAAAGAAATTACACAGAGAACTGTTGAGCAATTCCACAACTCCAGTGGCCTCGTTATTGCATTATTTTTTTGGGATTTAATTATTTTATTAGAAATTAATTACATTGTAACATAACATTGTGAATTTAAGTGTTTTCTACAAAATAGTGCATAGCTTTTATATTGAAGAAAACAGGAGACTGTCATGAAGATATGAACTTCAAATGCTTTGAAAAGGGATTCGAGAACATATCGAGAGGATATGGTCAAAGCAGAACTAATGGCAATATTCAAGGAGTATCGTGGTAGATATCGCCAATATGTTGTTGATTCAATGTCTAAACTTCATGGTATTGTTGTGCGACCACCTTCTCATTGCAAGTTGAAACTAATTCAACTAAATTGAGCTAAAATGAGGGGATATAGGCCTAGAAGTCTTGGGAGAACGCTGTTACCCACGTATTAAAAATATAAAAGAATATGTGCAAGTTGGGTGAGATATAAAAAATGTTATTACGTGTGTAATAGTAAGGGTCATCGCCTACGAGCCAGAAGACTCGATGAATTCCCGGGATTCCAATGAATTGTAAGTTAAACTGCCAATAAAAAAATTCGTTTTAAATATACATACCTTTATCGTTGTACTAGACATATTTTATGCAAAACGGTTAAGAATAAATTTACTATTTTTGTATTAAAGATGCTAGGTACGATAACGATCATTTTAAATTACAGTAATTTAAATTTCAAAGTAATTTTCATTGTTGGATTATTTATTCAGCTGTTTGTTAAACTTTTTAAAATGTAGAAGGAGTCTATTTATGACTAGAATAAAATTGTTTTACTAACAATCAGTATATTTGTTATCTGACAATTATCTAAATAAATTATTTAAAATTATTGTTATCCACCTATTTTCATATTTTTACATATATTTTTCACATGAATTCAATTTTTAATGCAGACAATTCTTTTAAGGTTCCATCATGAAACGCCACTGATAGAGAGTAAAGAATTAAGCATTCAGATAATTTGTGCTGACCAAATTTTAATTTGCTCAAACTTATGGTGAGTACAGCTGACTCACTGTAAAAGATCACATATTACTTACTAAAATGTACGGACAGCTATTAAGGCCAGGTTCCTTACCAAAAAACATGTTTTTTTAATACATTTTATTTATAGTACAAAAGATATTTGAAAATCTAACTTTTTACAGGTGAAATACTTGAAAAAAGTTTTTTCTTTTTTCAAAATGACAGTTCTGAAACTGGCTGTCCAAACTCGTCGAATATGTTGGTGAGCATCGATATAATATACTAAAGATGGAACATATGAATAAATACTTGCGTCCAAAATAGATAGTAACAATGGCCGATCTTTCCGGAATGTCAGTGGTGTACGAAAAAAATTTTGCTACATATATGATATATAAATTACAATAATTATTTATTTTCGCCGTTACATCTTTGTTGGCGAGCCACAAATCTTCGAGGGTACATCGATGAGGAGAGTTTCTGCATGTGTTTCTACATATTCTGTGTTTCTCCACAGTCACAGTTCACATCATCTTGGGTTTATTTTTCCATGTTTGATTTTACTGGAGCGACCCCCGTTCTTATCCTATGCATAGTTTTCCACGTTTTAAAATCTAGGGACTGGATGGTCCATTGAACCTGGGGAAGAGGAAAATACTCAGGAGGTTCATCCTGCACTGTTCCACGAAAGCTTTTCCTATATTTTAGTCGCTTTCGTGATGTTCGAGCATTGTATAGGGCATGCCGCTCGTCCGAGATCTGTTTAACTCTCTCTATGTGCTCTGCAACGCCTCTGCGTGTTGAGGGTTCTGCAAAACCCACTGCTTTATATAGATCTGAGAGTGGCGTTGGATTCATGCACCCCGTTACTATCCTGCATGTCTCATTTAGTGCAATATCAATTTGTTTGCTGTAGGCAGATTTGTCCCAAACGGGGCACGCATTTTCAGCAGATGAGAAACACAGTGCCTGTGTCGTTGTTCTTAAAACGCCAAGACGTGCACCATATTTACTTCCCGTTAGCTTTCTGTGTATGCCGTTGCTAGTTGTTACTATTCCTCTCGTTTTTATGCAATGTTGTCTGTAGGTGAGGGACCGGTCCCGAGTTACTCCAAGATATATAGGTTGGTTTGTGTGTTCTAATATATTAACATTCCATACAATTCGGAGTTTTCGCTTGACTTCCTTTGCGCGAAGGTGGAAAGCGTAGACTTGGTTTTTAGGTTTTTTCGCCGTTATTTACATTTGAATAAAATATATAACGACATGTAATATTTTAAAATTAAAAAATTATTATTTTTATGGCATAAAAACATATAAAACATACATATTTTACAGGTACGTAGTTGCTCATCGCACGCCATCGATGTGACTGGATGAAAAATATTAAAAATTTAACGAATTTATTGATTTACAAAAAGAATACATTAAATTATTGATTTCACACATAATGTTACCTGTTTAACATTAAAATAATATAGTATATAATTAATCACCAGTATAAATAATTAATCACCTGTCCGATTCACGTCGGACATTGTAATGTGAAGTCAGTTCCGTCGTTTATCAGCTACATGTAATATCAACATGTTCCATCCTTAGTACATTATATTGTTGTTGGTAGTGTCATCATTTCTAGGAAACGAATCATCAGAAAGCAAAAAAACAAAAACGGTTTCATATTCTGTATCGAATTGGCTATGCTCAGAACTACAATGGAACAATTTCGACCATTTTTGACACTTTTAATTGTTTATAACTTTTTTAAATAACAATAAAAATTTTTGAATGTAGTATCGACCAGAGAGAGACATCTAAAGAGTAAAAAGCCGTTTGGTTCATCCTGATAAGTGCAATAGTTTCGAAATATGAGTGATACTTAGTTGAAAAAACATGCTTTTGAGAAAAGCCATTGAAGTAAACAACTTACCGTCGGCTTAGTGACACAAAAATTTAACTACATTTTTTCCCGTTTTGAGATATCTACACCATTGAACTTACTTTAGTGGGTTCTACTGAGTGACACACAAAACTGTATCTCTCCGAACAACTAAAACCCCAGTAAGGAGTTTTTCGTAACTACATTTTTGTTAGCAATCTTTTAGTGCCACAGAAATGTAATTGCTGTTACATTTCTGTGATACTATGTTTTCGTACTATAAATAAGCTGATATTGAGTTACAGTTTTGTGGCATTCATTTTATTGCACTGAATGGTGATTGCAGGTGGCAACTGTGGATTTGATAATTTGTTTATTATGTTTATCATTGTGGTTCGTTGTATTTGCAGTTCGGTTACAGTTGTGAAACACGTGAATCTGTTAATAATTTGTCTATTATATTTAGCTGGGTGGTCCGTTGTATTTCCAATTCTGTTACAACTGTGAAGATGTAAATACCTGAATCAGTTTTAAGTTAATTGTAGCGATTGTTATAATAAATCGTTATAATACTGTTTTATAATTTTATTATTACACAATAATGGATTCAAGAGGGAAGAAGTTAGTTTTGTTAGCTTTTAACAAATCGGTACGAGATGATAAAACACAGTCATAATTTACCGCTCTAATCACAACAAGTAACATATTCAGATAATGCCTCCCATGGTTCTACCAGTGAACATAATGTATCAGGATATAAACAATGTGAGGATATATTTTTTGGTGACGATTAGAATAAGTGACACGTGTGGTGGCCAAAACCGCAACGTAAATGTATCTGCTATGTTGCTTTATTGAACTTGACCATTGCTTTTTTGAACCTGGCATTCGATAATGGAGAATGACTCGGTCAGTGGTCATATTGAGAAAGCATAAAAAATGAGGACATATTTGATCCCACTGGGTACAGCGAACTACAGGAATTTCATTTTCCTTGTGGGAACAAGTTAACAACTTTTTTAATTTAAATTGTTAGAAAATTGTTTGGAGGAACCTGGCCTTAAAATTTTGTAAACCAACATTTTGATTTATTTAGTAGTGAATGACGTATTTGTTTAGTTTTTAAGTTTAAAAATGTAAAAATTAAAAACTAAGTTATCTGGCTTCATAACAATTCAAGTTGTTTGTGAAAAGCTCTAGTTGTCATAAAATATCAATTAAGATGGTGGATTGGATGGGCTATCAACATACTGGTGTTCATACAAGAACAAAGTAAAGTCAAATGTTGATGGCATTAATTATACAATTGAAACCTCACACAAACTTGAAACAGCCTCACACTGGTTCAATCATGATAATAAATTGTTATGAGGAAGCTTGTCCCATCAAAAATAAAGCTGTCGATTGGGATGTACTTTGAATTAAAAAAAAAGCACATTTAATAGAGTTAATAAGGATATCCAGGCACTAACAAGATCACTAAAAAAAGGAAATGGATAACTTGACATTGTGATAATATAAAAAATGAACAATGTT